ATTTTACTTCAGAACCACATGTACGTACCCAAAGAGCTGCATGTGGCTCGCGAGCCTCAGTTTGCTGACCCCTGATATAGGCTCATGGTGCTATGATAAAAATGGACATTTACTATCTTGTGACAGCCACTGTTCTACAGATATATCATTAATTTAATCCTTCCCATAATGCTCTAGGGTAAGTACTAGTCCGTTTTACATATGAAAAAATGGTGAGAGACTTGAAGTAACTTGGCCAAAGTCCTACAGATAAAAAGGTACAGGATTAGGATTTGAGACCAGGTTACCTAGCTTCAAAATCCATTTTCTTAACCCTCTGTTGCATAGCTCTCAAGAGCCCACAGGAGTGAAACTAAACAAAACCCTGCAGAACTAAATAAGAGAAATGTGACACATTCTACTGGTCACCTCTATTAGAATTTTCAGCTTGTCAGGCAAGAAATACAGCTTTTCAGCTGAAATTGGGAAGAATATGTAGGGTTATTATAGCCATTGAATCATTCTTGAGAGCCCCAGTATAATCAACATCACTGGTTATGAACTTAAACATCAAGGCTATTCATTGGTGAACTGTATGCTCAAGGGTTAAAAGGGGTTACAGTAAGACACCTACCTTTGAATTATTACGATTTGGCCATTTTCATACTTCCAAGAAACAGCGCTGGGCATTTCTCAGACTCACAAAGGAGATAAATGATTAAAAAAAAAATGTATAGGGAGGACAGTGTAGATTTGTGAGCAAGACAAATTTTGTCAGAATATAGGGAGGCGACATAGGAGACTGTAGCATCTAATTTGATACATTTATAAGCCACAAACATGTCTGAATGACCAAGAGCCAGCCACCACCACAAAATAACCAGGATAGGTCTGGAGTCAGCAGGGAAGAGCTGGGAAAAAGGCCAGGCCGATAATGAAAGGGGGCATTAAGGTACACATTAAACTCTCCAAAGGGAAAAAAATAAGCAAAATGTTCAAGACATCCTTAACAAAAAGTTGAAGTATTAACATTTTTGCTAAAGTAGCAAAAATAGCAAATTTGCTGGTTTCACTAAGTTCATTATATTGCTTTTTTTTTTTTTCTCTTTAAGTGGAAAGGTGGTAAAGCTTCACTGAGCAATAGTAAGTGAGGATGTAAGAGACTTTTCAAAAGTGGTCCATCAACCAATTACTTGGAGTTTGGAGGGAGCAGTTTATTTTTCTGGCATTGAGAAATCAGCATATTTGGAGCTGGCATCCAATGGCTTAGTCCAGTTCCCTGAGCGACTTGGGATTCCTGATGGGGGAAAGCTGCCTTATTTTGTGGAGCAAAGCTGCCACTGGAACTCAGGGCGCTTGACTGAAATTTCAGACATCTGATTTTGTCAGTTTGGACCCGTTTCCTTTGAAATGCCCTGCCTTAATAACCACGTTAACCCATTGCCAATCTTTCCCGCAAACATGTCTCCATGTGATTGGGAAAATTAATGAACAGGCACTAGCTAATATAATTAAACCCAAACACTACTGATTTCAGTATGAAGAAAAATCCACTGCCCTGATTTTCTCTTGACAACAGAAAAGTCTTGCCATCCCTGAACTGTTTAATTATTGAAATGAACTGTAACAGTACACCGGATAGGGGAGGAGGTCGCTGAACAGTACCGGAAGTCAGACAGCGGGCAGGGGCTGACAGAGGGCCTGCCAACGCCTGGGGCTGCAGCTCCAAACCCACACGCTTTTTCTCAGGCAGCGAGCCTCTGATAGGTGGCCTGATAGCGGGACTAATTTGCGAGTATTCTAAAGGTCCAATGGTGCTTGCTTGTTTTAAGACAAGCCAAAATATGCTCTGGTGACCACCACGACATTGCAATTCCCATGCCCTACCACATTCCTCTTTTCAGATCCCAGGCATTTTTTTTTGTCTCCCTACGTGCAGTCCAGGATGTAGACAAAATGAATTCCAAGTGACCTATGTGGGGGTGGATTATTTTAGAAACAAACAGCAATTTAAGAGAGAGAGGAAAAAAAAAAAGAGCCTGTTCTCACTTTTTTTTTTTTTTTTGGAGGGGGTGCATATGTTTATTTTCTCAGAGACACTTACTTTCTGGCAGTGACAGCAGAAGTCAGTTTCATGAAAGTGTCTTTTCCCCCAAATTTTAAAATACAAAATATTAGCCCTATTTTGTTTAACTTTCTTCTCTGCCTCCCAGACCTCACAGCACTTATGCACTTATGACAATCACTTTCTTTAAACAGCGATGTCCAATTTACTATGATTCTAAAATAGCATCTCCTGGAAATAGTGATTTTGTTTTAATATGTCATTAAAAATATTTAGATTACTACCAAAGATGGTGGTGGGGGGAGCTGGAAAACATTACTAGAAATGCTAATACTAGGTACACAAGAGTAAAAGGGTGATTTTCAAATATGGTATTATTTAATATTCAAGATTATTATTTAATAATCAAGAAAAGTTTTAAAAATAAGTATATTCAATGGTTTGATAAAAAGATAATTTATAAACATTTTTGTGTGCTCTGAATTACAAACACAACTCTTTTTTTTTCTTTTTTCTTTTTGTAAGAAAAAATAACTATCAGAAGTAATAGGGTTTTTTGTAGTGCCAGATATGGCCTGAAGCCAACTTGTCCTAAATTTTCCTATCTTACATCATTCTCTTGGATGCCACCTTCCCCCGCTACACACCCAGTAGCAATGAGACCTGTTATTTCTCTCGCTTATTGAAACTTGTTCCAAGGCTAAGCAATACTAAAGCCTTAAAGGGGCGTGGTAATCGTCTAATAATAGAATGTAGATATGTGGCTTCTTCTTAGGATCAGCTAAGGTAATGAGGAGACTAGATATTACTGTGTATTACTGTATATTATTTTTATCAAAACAGAACACCTTCTAGAGTGAAAGGGGAGCAATCAATGATTACACTGGGACATAAGGCCTAAGTCAGAGCTATCTCAGGTAAAATGAGACACCTTCTATATTTATCTACATATTTGGTAGTAAAGAAACTCATGTTTAGACATACATTGGATGGCTGTATCATGTCGCTTTCCTAGCCAGACCACCTCCCTTTTTCTCTTACCGACCCCATCCCATAAGCTGAACTCCTGGATCAATACTGCCAGTTTCCTAGGTGCTCCACTCAATCGCTGCCATCACCAGATAGTCTCTAGTCTATCCAGGTAGATTTGCTAGGACCAGGTGAGATTTGGGTGTTTTGAGGCCAGTCTCCCAGAGTGACACCTCTCTACCATCACTCAGCCCCTTCTGTCCTAGTCAGCTTGCATGGGAGCCAAGAAACTCCATGTGAGAAAAGCTTCATGGACTATGCATTGTTTCATGAGTGAAACAATAAGGATATGAGAAAATGCAATAGGAATCTATCATAAGCTGATTTAGTAGTACAAGAATTTGGTATCATGGGAAGAAATGTTATCCTCCAGAATATTGTAGTGTATAGAGCAAAAACTTGGTACAGCCATGATTAATTTAGTTCTAGATGTCTCCAGATGAAAATATGATAAAGAATATCCCTAATAGTTCCTCTGGATAAGTTTTGTGAAAATGTAAAGTATAGCTAACACTGGTTTCCACATTTTAGTATTTATAAGAATCACCTGGGATCCTCATATAAAATTGTTCCTGGGTCCCACCTCTCAGCAAGTTTGATTAGATGCCCAAGAATCAACGTATTTAAACAGCCCATAGGTGATTTCAATGTAAAAGGTCCATACAGCCAAAGGCACGGGTAAGAGCTATATCTTTCTCAGCGCTATATCTTTCTCATTCTCTTGCCAACATATCGGATGCCACAGGCCTATAAGTAGCCTCTGACTCACAGGTAGCTTCTGACTGCCTAGAACTTCTCATATGTTGCAAGGAATGTGCAGACTTACCTACGACTAGAAAAGAGACTTCCTCATTCCTATAGAAGTGGCATCATGCATGTCCTGGGAAACAGACCAATTTTGGCATAGGCTTGAAATTAAGGACTAAACTCAGTCTCCAGAGAAATAATGTTAAGTATAGCCTAAACCCCATTCAAGAAGAAACTGTGATTCCCTTTATGATCCAGCCTTGGCAAAGAAAAGTTAAAATGTGGCTCAGCCACCTCATCGATGTACAGGAACAGGCTAGAGGGGATATGAAAGAAAATGACTGTTAGGGGAAGCATCTGAATTTTTCAAACAAGGTGAGTTTGCCTCCTCAGTTGTCTAATTTAACATTCCAATATAAGAAGAAATCAGGCATCTGAAAACTGTACTTAATCCATTCTTTAAATAGTATTACAGCCTTTTTCATTTCTCTCCGCACTGTATTTTGTTGTTTTTGTCTCGGAGGCTTTCAAACGCAGGGCCGGGACTTGCACTGGGAGGCCTGCGGATTACAGGAAATAATGACCTGTATATATTTAGTTGTTCAAAGGAAATTAGAGTAGCCTGATTTTTATTATTCCCCATTGCCCCACGTTCTCTGGTGTAATAACTTGCCCTGTTCTCTAATTTACTTTTACATCATCGGAAATGTATACCATTTAGCCCAGATTCTCTCATGACCAATCAGGACCTGCTGCTAGCTAGGTTAACAAAGCCTTCCACAGAACGGGAGGCCTCCCAAATGCAGGCCAGCCAAAGACACTGGAAGAGCTGAGGCTTCTGGAAAGTATGTGACCTGGAGAAAATAATTTACAAACTTCTCCCCTTAGGTAGCCCATGACCACTGTCTGCCCCTGCTATTGAATGTGACAGCTAACCTTTCCAGGACTCCTGTCGTTTTAGATTAACCTTCTCCTGTACAAATTTGTAGGCAATTCCCTTCTGGTTAATTTTTTAATTGTTAATCTATAAGTTGTATTTTCAGTGGTGCTGCTTCCCTGTACTGCATTTTCTTCTCTCTTACCCCTTCTCTTACCATCAGCCTTCTACATTTTCTTTAATGTGAATATCCAAAATCTAAAATTAATCTGCTTTTTTTAGTTAAGAGGGAAAAAATATCTTTTTTTTCTTTAAGTTATGATCGGATGCTTAGATCATGATTTTATTGGGATTTTGTAGTCCCATAGCACATATCATCTGTATTTTCTAGAATACTGGGGAAGGGGAGTGTCACGGTGAGAAATATACTCTTATTGGAAATTAATTTCACAATATTTTAAAACATTTGCAACTTATCAGCTCTTCTTTTCAGTATGACTCTATACATGCTTTACAGACTCTGAGATGAAAGTGACGTTTGAAAGGTAGGCAAAACTGTTTTTTGTTAGAGTCACTGTGTTTTGGGGCACACGTAATGAAGTTGTTGGATTCACTAAATTGCTTTTCAATAAATAGTTTAAGTTGTGTGTTCTTTAACTGGCAGGATTTGGCAGGATAAAAATGAAGAGAAGTAGTAAGTAGTTTCAATAATCACAACTTCTAAAATTCACTCCAACATGATCATATTTTAAGAGCTCAATAAATTTGGCCTTTATAAACTTTTCTTCATCTCTCCCCAAACATTTCTTTTCAGTCTGGGCAGTTGCCTCATTATTAAATAGGTTCTCTATTCCAAAGTAAACTCAAGTCACTCATATTCATTTTACTTTAATTTCCTTCAGTCTCACATATTGTAAGATTAATTATTGGTTTTGTTTTGTCTCATCCCCTCTCATTATGAAACAGCAACAATTCACCTTGTTCTCCTATTTTTAATGTCTTAAAAAGAACATTTTACCTTTTAAATACTCTCTCAAGTTTGATTCCTCTGAATGTTCCTCACACCTTCCTAAATCTTAACTAAACCCTCCCAACTCTCCTAAAATACTAATCTCTCGTTCTGGTTCAAGAGACAATCTTTAAAACAGTTGCTACTTTAAAATAACTGTAATGACTGAACCACAGTTTATTGTTGAAGCTTAGGTAAATTCTCTCAACAAATTGCCTGCCTTGCTCTAAATTTTAATCTTAGGTAACATTGTACTTGGCTAGGTCTGTCTTCAGAGTTTGCAGAAATTATTTTGAGATATTCTAGTTCACTAACCCTCCAGGGACCTTAGAGCCTCAGGAAAATTGGGGATTTAAATAGTTTATATCTCAGTGTGTATTTAAATCAGTTAAGGTTTGTCCTTTCCAGAGAGCTCACCAGATGACTGACCATGGAGCCTTTGGTGAGGTAGGTAGATAGAAACTAATGTAGTGGAGTGGAGAAATACTGATTGTTTTCTCTGCAGTGACAATAATATTCAATTGCCAAACTTCAAATGGAAAATATTCATTCCAGTTGATTAGAGCCATTCCAAAATGACTCCATAGGGAGTCATGAAAAAATATTATGGCAGGATAGACAGATAATATATGAAATTATTTCTCTTAAGATAGGAATTTGGATTTGTCTGTGTGTTTCCCCTTTCTCCCTTTTTTCCCAATGGTTTGTTTATGGAATTTTAATTCTGTTCCATTTATCCACATGGCCATCTTTTTGCCGGTACCAAACTGTCTTTATTACCGTAGTTTTGTAGTAACTTTTTAAAACAAGATGGCTGAGTCCTTCAATTTTGTAACTTTGTTCTTCTCTTCCAAGTTTTTTGTTTTGTTTTGTTTTGTTTTGTTTACTATTATGGGGTTTCAGAATGAATTTTAGGACCAGCTTGTAGTCTTCTACAAAACAAAACAAATAAAACAAAAACAAAAACAAAACAAAACAAAAATCTGGAATTTTGATAAGGATTGTGTTGAATCTATAAATCCATTTGGGAAGTATTGCCATCTTAACAATATTAAATTTTCTGATCCATGAACATCAGATGTATTCCCATTTCTTTACAACATCTTTAATTTCCTTCAACAACTTTTTTTATTAGTTTTGTTTTGTTTTTTAAAGATTTTTATTGGGGAATTGGGGGGATGGGAACAGTGCTGGGGAATTGGGGAAAGGGGAACAGACAAGTTGCTGTCGTTTTGTTCTTCAGTCTAGTTGTGGAGGACGTTGCTTCACTGGCCCAAGTTGGCACCATCATTGCGCTCTTCCCAGGTGAGGCAGATCAGTCGCCGGCTTCTGGACGGCCACTCATGGCAGCTGCTGGCTGCTCACACTGGCTGCTGGCTACACACGGTAGCCCATGGCAACCCACTGCCACAGGGGCTGCAGCCTACGCCGTCGCCGGCAACTCATGGCAGCACAGCTCCAGGTTGAGCTGTTGTTCAGCATCTTAGCTATAGAGGGCAGTGTCACTGGCCCTCATATGTGGGATCCGAACTGGGGCACTCTGGCGTCCCAAGCCAGCTCGTAACCATCACGCCTCTCGGCTGGCCCTTTTTATTAGTTTTAAGTGTATAAAGTTTGCACTTCACTTGCTAAATTTGTTCCTAAGTATTTTTTTTTTCTGGAACTGATTTCTTAATTTAATTTACAGATTGTTCACTGCAAGTGTATAGAAATACAATTCATTTTTTTTTCCTTTTGATCTTGTACCCTGCACTAATTTATTTGATCTAAACTCATTTATTTGCTCTAAAACTTTAAGTGGATTCTTTAAGATTTTCTATATACAAAATAATGGCTTCTACAAATACAGATAGTTTTAATTTTTCTTTTTTAATTAGAACATCTATTATTTCTTTTTCTTGCATAATTATTCTTGCTAGAACATCTAGTAAAATGTTAAATATAAGTAGCAAGAGGAACATTCTTGATCATAGGGGAAAGCATCAGTCTCTCACCATTAAATGTGATGGTAGGTACAGATTTTTCATAGATGTCCTTTAACAAATTGAGGAAGAACCCTTCAATTCCTAGTTTATTAAGTGCTTTTATCATGACATAGTGTTGGATTTTTTCAACTGCTTTTTTTCATTTGTTGAGATATTCATGTAATTTTTGTCCATTATTCTATTGGCATTGTGTATTCCATTGATTGATTTTCAGATGTTAAACTAGCCTTGTATTTCTGGGATAAATCCCATTTGTTCAAGGTGCATAACCCTTTTTATATTTTGTACTGGGTATGGTTTGATAGTATTTCATTGAGGAGTTTTGCATTTATATTTTTAGAAACACAGTTCTGTCGTTTACTTACAGATATAGTTTACTTAGTGATGTCTTTGTCTGGTTTGTTGTCAGGATAATGCTGGCCTCAGAATAAGTTGAGAAGTGTTCTCTCCTATTATAGGTTATTGAAGAGTTCATCAAGAATCAGTACTAATTCTTATTAAATGTTTGGCAGAATTTATCAGTGAAGCCATCTGGGTTAGGGGTTTTCTTTGTAGGAAGGATGTAAATTACTGATTCAATATCTTTACTTGTTATATGTTTTCCCAGACTGTTTAATTGCAGTTCTAAAAGTAGAAGCATTTTCCTCTTATATGCAAAAGTCAAAAGTCATGGAAAAACTACCTTTGGTGTCATGATGAAGGAGGAGAAAGAGGAGACTTCCTTCCAATACAGCAGCAAGTAAGGAAATGGGACAGACTTTCCTAGGCTGGGGAGAGCTTATGTGTATGAGGCACTCTTGTGGCATCATCCTGTGGAGGGGCCAACACATTATAGAAGGGACGTGATCCAAGTAAAGACATTGTTCATAAAATTTGGACTTGCAGAATCTGGATCTTCCTTCTGCCCCTAGGGATACAGGGAGTGGAAGAGACACTAGACTTGAAGGTGCCTCTGTAGGATGATACAAATGGAACCTCAGCAATATGTAATCTAGACTTATGACTAATGACTGGATGAGTTCCCCAACATTTTGGCTTTACCCCAAACCCCTGGTGGAATGGGGGCTTTATTAAATTTGAATTAATTTAAAGAAAATAAAGAAAAGCATCTTAATTTGTTGACTGAAATGAGTATCTCTTTCAGTAGAAAACCTCTGATATACTGCATCTTCACAGTTCTCCACAGTATACCAGCCAGGCCTAACCAGTCCTTCAGCAAAGCTAAGCTATCTAGAAATTATTTTAGGATGTTAGTCCCTGTGAGTATAACATAGAGATTTTGCTTCTTGATTCTGGAGCCAGATTGCTGGGGTTAATGCCTGGTTCAGACATTTAGTAGTTACGGGACCTTACACAATTTACTTACTCACTCTGTACCTCAGTTTCTTAATTTTTAAAATAGAGATAATATACAATATCTAATGTAGTATCTACAATGAAGTTATATGACCATTAAGTGTCATTTATTCCTTAGCTACTATTATAGTTGATAATATTCCCAGAAATAACTAGCTGAAGAAATAAATTCTATGTGATGTATGATTCTTATTGAAATCACCAAATATCTTCCTTCTCAACTATTCCTGCCTCTGCAATGGCATCTTCATCTCTGTTATTACCAATTGTCAACATGTCAGTCATCTTTTGTTTTTCCTTTTCCACATTTTTTTTAAACTTAGAGACCCTTCTTCTACATTATCTTTAATATCCCCTCCTTTTTCTCCAAGCCCTCATGGTTTTTATTCAAACTATTGAGAAACCCTCTTAAATCTTTCTGTATCCAATAATGCCTTTTTTTCCAGTGAATGCTTACTGCCAGGCTTGGTACTGGTCTTTTAAATTCATTACCTCAAATCTGTGTCAAAACCCTGCAGGATAAATATTGTCATACCCATTTTACAAATGAGGAAACTGGTGAAGAAAGGTTTGATGACATACCCCTGTTCACTCAGCTAATATATGATAGGCCTAATACACAGATTTAGTCTTCTGAGTCTTAAGTCCACGCTGCCTCTTATTTTTCAAGTTGCTGCCAAAGTAATTTTGCTATAGTGCAGCTTTGATTATAACACACTCAGCTCAATGGCTCCTTATTGCCCATAAAATAAAGCCTAAACTCTTAGCCTTAAAATTCAAAGCCTGCAATAATCTGGCCCAAATCTACATATCCAGCCTCTTTACTCACTGGTCCTTCTCACACCCACTACACTTCAATCAAAATATATAACTTTTCATTTCTAAGCATGTCTTGTACTTCCCTACAACGATGCCTTCGCCCATACCCCTCCCTTCTCCTCTCCTTTTACCCAATGTCACCTTCTCCACAAGTACTTTAAATGTCAGATAGATGTAAAAATCGCCTGCTCTGTACTCCCATAGCTGTTTGTCTATAGCCACTTTATAATTCCCATCATTCTGCTTGTAGAAAAAAATACCAGCAAAAAAACACACAGAGGTGCTGGGAAGATTGCCTTACCCTGCTGCATTCCCCAAAAAGGAGGCAGCCCTGACATGCTGCCCATCAGAGTGAAGAAGTAAGTATCTTGCTACTTTCCTGCCCAGTCAGCCATCATGTCAGTACATCTAAATGAGGATGCCCAGCCTGTGGATGACATTGGTGTGGCTCCATCTGGACCATTTTATGGGCTTATTTTAAGATGAGAGGTGGCAAGGGCCTTAAACAGACCACAGAAATTGCTGTATTAAATTCCAACTGCACGGCCAAGTGGTTTAGAAAAAACACAACAGAGTATTTTTCAGGGGTTCGAGAGATGATACTGCTCATGAATTTATTTTAGAAATGAGACTCCTTAAAAAATCTACAAATATTGAGGCTATGGATGCATCCAAAGGCTCCAGGATTATGCTTCTGAAAACTGACAGCAGAACTCGCTCCTCCTAACTCAGTCTCCTGGCTTGTGGTTGAGTGATAGATGATTCAGAATAAGACTTCACTTCTTAGATGCACTGTCTACATTACACATCTGACTGCAGCAGCATTTGTAGGATGTAGAGGAGGGGCTACGAGGGATTTGGTCATTCAAGTTACCACCCAATATTTCCAAGTCATATTCTATGTCCAACCTTGATATTATTTTAATATTTTATAGAATTAATGTCACTCTTGCCCAAAGCCCAGAATTGCCCAGGTGCCTGACACATAGTAGAAACTCAGCATAGATGTGTTTAATGAATAAGAGGACGAATGAATAGCTAAGTAAAACACACACACACACAAACACAAACACACACACACACACACACATTAAAATAACAATATAATTTTTGAGTCCTAACCACATGTGTGTATCAGAATCTCCAGGGCAAAAGCCTAGTAATCTGTACATTTAACAAGCACCCCTTTGGATGGGTGTTAACAGGCAAGTTTGGGGCACAGAAAGAGGTTTCCAAACTTAACTAATTATCAGAATCACCTGGGGAGTTTTAAGACTCATGTATTTATGGGCCCTGCCTTGGCCTTCGGGAATCAGGGTATAAATTGAGTAATCTGTGTTTCTAAAACAACTCCTCAGGTAGTTACAGGTATGTGAATTACTACAGCAAAATATATCGTGTTGAATTAGCTCACATACGGTACTTAGGTCAGATTTAATGAATGATGAGATAAGCCTTGTTTCCTAAGAAAGAAACAAAATCTCCTTCTAGTTTAGGTGATACAGGTATATGCATTTGTCAAAACTCATTAAATGGTACACTTAAGATGTGTGTATTATACTGTATGTCATTTAATCACAAAAATATGTGAACAGGTATGTACTAGATGTAAATTCTAGTAATCATATGCATGCTGAAGTATTTAAGGGGGAAGTGGACTGATGGCTGCAATGTTCTTTGAAATACATCAAAAATTAAGGTGGGTCGATGGATAAATAGATATGTCATAAGGCTAGAGAGTGTCACTACAGGATCTACGTAGTGGCTATATAAACATTCACTCTATGGTACTTTCAACTTCTCTTGATGTTTGAAAAATTTCATAGTAAAATGTTGAGACAAAAATAAAAAAAATAAGAACAGAATAAACACCAGAGAGAAAGGTGAGAGTGAAAGGATATCCGGGGAAGAGAGTTTGAAGGAAAAGCTGAGAACTGACACAGAAGATAAACATCTCTAGGTCCAGCTGAAATAGATAAGTAGAAGAAAAACAATGCAATTAACAGAAAGATTATAATGGAGAGTAAAAATACATTGCACTAAGAAAGGTACTAAATTGTTTAACTTGTCATTCATTAGAGCACATGAATTATTAGGTGAGGTGAAGATTATCACCAGATAAGAACTTTGACAGCACAAGAAATTTGGCTTCCACATGAAATTACTGGCTTGGTGTGATTTATACATTATTTCTGGGTGTTAATTCAGCTTTATTTAGAATTTTTTATTGTTGTTAGAGTGCCTCTCCATGATTAAAGATATTCCTGGGAATTAGGAAGGAGGGAAAAGGCCAGCAGTAGCCATATTACATGTAATTAATTAGGTGGACTGATCATGTCACAGTGTACTGATATGGATGTTATGTACTCATCTGTGAACACATTTTATTTTCCATATTAGCCTAAAAGTACAGGAGCATGGAGAATGTGTCTTATTCACAGCGCCTACCTTAGTGTCTTTCATATATTTATGCTGTGTTCAGAACTCTCTGGAAATTTATTTTTAATATAGAAGATCAGAGCCTGGGATTAGGTTTTCCCACTAGCAGAGTTAGGCAGGTGGAGGGACACTGAGTGTCTCGCCAAGAATCACTGAGAAAGGGCAGGTACAGCATGCCTTGAACACAGTTCACTGAGGCCTCATATGCTTATGGGACATGATGTGGGCAGCTTAAGGCAAGGTTTCTCAAACTTGGCACTATTTAGATTTGGGGACAGCTACATCTTTATTATGTGGGCCAGTCCTGTGCCTTATACATAGTTTAGCATCATTCCTAGCTTCTACTCACTAGTTGCTAGTAGGGTTCCCCTGGTTATGACAATAAAATATATCCCCAGACATTGCCAAATGTCCCCTGTGGGGAAAAATCATGGCCAGTTGAGAACCACTCCCTTAAGGCAATGAGCCAAGATGAAGCTCCTTGAGAAGTTTGAACCCAAAATGCATATAAATCACCTGGATAAAATTTCCCTTTGAAGGATCTTCCCAAAGAAGGAAAATCTAGGTATCAAAGAAACCATTTAGGGATTAAGTTTTGAAGAGAATGATAGAAAGTGAGCCTAGAGCAATTCCTTCATCCACCTAGCTTACAGATACTATAGCCACAGGGAGTTCGTTACTGTAGGACATAGGAGCTGATGATGGTAGACGGTCTGGCTGATGTTAGCAGCTAGAAAAAAGAAGTGTGCCCATGGAATACAGCTGCACATATTCATCACACAGTCTTAGTCCCAAGTCCAGGACACAATGGGATTTGCTAAGAGGCAGTCATCATGCAGCATCAGGGAAGCAGAGAGGAATGGGGTGGGATCTAATTAAGCAGTACTCAGATGTTAAGCCAAAACAGCATTTCTACAGATGAGAGATGTAGAAAAACAGGCATACAGAAAAGAGAGGTATTCTATCTGGTAAGAGCAAAGCCTGGACCTCATTACCATATAAAGATAGGGGCCTAAATGATAACTGAGAAAATAGCTACATTCTAGGAAGTAGGGCACCTAGGGCTGGATGGGACCTGATTTAGTGTGACTGGAGGCCCTGCAGGATGTGTGGGGCAAGCTAGATTCTGGGCTCAACTTTGGAACCCAGAGATAAGCAGGAGACACCATGTCATGGGTGAAACAAGCAATGATGGTGATTCAGAATGGTCAGGCTCAACCTTAGTGCTCCAACATCACACCTCGACACACCCTTTTAACCCAACAGAGTGAGTCAGGAGAGGCTAACACTCCCTGTCTGCCCCAAGAATCATGCATTGGAAGGTTTTGCAATGACCTGACTAAAACACTCAAGATACAATATTGTGAGGGCAAAAAAGGACCCGAAACTACACAAACAGTGTGATCTTCTATAAAAGGGGGAAATGATTATGGGATTATAGCTAACTAAATATAAATATCAACACCTAGTAAACATCTCATGGAAGGTGAGAGTGGAGATACTCTTTAAGATGTGAAATGAGGGACGGTCATGTGTGATTTTTTTATTCCTTTCTTTATACTTTATCTTATGTTTTGGGTAATGAATATAAAATAATTTTTATAATCATTTCTCAGATATTCTAAAAAAAATCTTAACTTCCTGTCTCAAACCAGGGTTGGTCTAGGAATTAGGAAGAGCTGATTTTCTAAATAGGACAACTATTAGTCCTTGTGAGAAATTTAGGAAAGACACAGTCTGAAGAAAGTGTGGGAAATGTGGGAATTGTGGTTTGCTCAATGGAAATGAACACACTCCTACATAAACTTAACAAGAATTTAGCATGTGTCATCAGAGTCCTTTCTTCCTAACAGACAACTATTTTGTAGTTTTATTATAGGAAGCAACATGTTTTCTTTCTCTCTTCACCCCACAACCAACTTCTCTCTGGAGGAAAAAAATAAATCCTCAACTTTTTGGCCACATGAAAGTGTATATTGGACTATGGAGTGCAGTGTTTGTTGGGAATGATGGATGGTTGGACAATACAGCACAATCAGACAAGACCAGCCATCAATCACTTTAAATCAATGATAGAACTTGGGTGTGTTTTGTGCCACTTTCATTCATTCTAGTGCCCGGAGAGTTTCACGGAACAACCTCACGACCTCACATGAGCAAAGAAAATGGCTTTTAAAGTTGTTTCCGGGCTCAATTCATCACTCATTCCTGGATGAGATGCCAGGAAATAACTTTCATGGTGTTTTTTTCCTAACTCATCTTTCTCACCTCGAAGTTTGGATGAAGGATATACACATAGACATAAAAAGGAAAGAAAACCCGTCTGAGTGGGCTAGGTTTTGTTATGTAAATGAAATTTAGTCATTAACTTTTTTTGTTTTTCTCCTCTTGCTCATTAAACAATCTTCTAAGAATTCCCTTTTGTCTTTCTGGAAGTAAGTTGTGATTTAATCATGATTTCCTTTTGGTCATTCCAGAACATTTACAGCAGGGCACTCTGGTCATCCATGCATATTGGACATTGCTGTTCTGTTCATCAGATGAGACCTTCTCTGCAGAGCACAGGTACTTTTCACTGTGACCCTCATGGCCATAGTTAATGATTAGTTACTACCTTCAGAGGCCCTGAACCACCTCATGAGTGATATTGGCATTTCTCAGGGTTAAGTGTATCTACCACTGGAGGAGCTGAGAAGATATGAAGTCTACCACCTAGCCTCAGGAAGACTTTCAACACCTTAAAAACACCCTTCTTTTTCAAACCCCCTTGTAACACAGCCTCATCAACTCAAAGCATTAGCTCAGCTCTGGCACTCTCATTAATTCTCGTCAATGGTCCCGAAACACAAAAGTCTTTTACTTCTCCTCACCCTCCCCTTTCCCAGTCCAGAGGTGAACTGGGAAGTAACGGCAACTTAGTGCTTCAGAAACACAGAGGTCAACTTCACCAATTTAGAATGAAGCTAGGGAAAGGACAGAAAGAGCTAGCCGTTGTCTCATCTTTCTACACATATTTTAAACACAGACACTTTCCAGAATTAGTAACATTTTATTTATTCCCGTAAACAAATGAACCCACCAGAAGACTCTTTAGATTTCTGACCTACTTCAAAAACACTTTAATATCTTGAAATACTGTCATGGATGCATATTGCACACAAAATTTTACCATGATTTTGATATAATTCTATTTAATGAGAAAAACAATTTTGCACATTTTCTTTAGACTGTCAATATTTCATTAGTATATACACACTACTCAATTAAAAGGGAAGTAGAACTGAATGCTTAGGAAGTAAGAAACCAGTAACACCTGAGATCTAAACACCTCAGGTCACAAGGCAATCCAAAATAAGGGGAAGACACTGGCCTGAGTTAAATCCCTGGTCTGACTTAAGATCATTTACTAGATAAAGAGCTATTGGCAAGGCACCAGGCTCCTCATTTGAGCTTCAGGTTCCCAGCATTTTGATGGAGTGATTTGTGTTTTGGGGACTCTGGGTAGATTAAAACCTATTTCTCCTACAACTGTGTCAAATTCACCTTTCCTCACTTATCGATTACAAAAATCCTGTCTTCAATGACAGTTATAAAAAATAATACTCTTCATTGTTTTTGTTATTATTATAGAGACTAAGGCAAATATGAATATCACCAGTTAAATTACATACTTATATGTATATATTTATGTGTGTATACTTATATCCATATATATATGCATATAAATATGTATGTATGTATATGTGTGAGTATATATATACACATTTTTCTTATAGTAATAATTATAGATCTAAACATGATATTACCTTACTCAAAAGCATTGACATGTATCAGTGGTATTGATTTTTTATAAAAGACATCAACCATCTCCTTTTTATTGTATTAAATACTGAAATAGGAAGGTCTTTCCCTTCTGTCACTAAGCCAGTAGCATTCAATCACGAATGCGAGAAAGTCTGATTATTCCAATAGTGATGTTAACTGTGCTCCTATTGTTAGAGTAATTAAACAAGGAGGCCACTATACTGAGGAGGCCACTATACTGAGGAGGCCCTAAGGCCTTGGTAGCCTATGTAAGCAAGCCAAACCTAAGCCAGAGCCAATGCACTCGAATCTGAGAAAATGACACTTAAGAACAACCAATCACAAACAGCCACCCAGGCATTCCCAAATAAGGCAGCTGCTTACACTATAGCCAGTCAAATAATATTCTTACTCTACTTCCCACCTTTTCTATAAAAACCTCTCTTCTAGCAACTACTTAACTGCTGGTAAAGCACTCCTAACCACCTTTGGTTTGGTGCAGCCCAATTCAAATTGATATATGCTCAAATAAACTCTTGAAAATTTAATGGGCCTCAGTTTACCTTTTATCACTTGTGTAGAGAGAAAAAAAAAAAAAACCAGCCTAACACAGTTCAACCCTAAAATGCACTGAGAGGAAGTGTGCACATCAGTAGACGAAGATTTTACCTGTGACAGAGCAAACACAGACCATGTACTCCACAATCTCAATCCTTGGAATGGAAGCAAGCATTGAACTCCCCCATGTGCACAAGCTTCTTTAGTTGGAATCTAGTGGCAGACAAGAACATTGTTCTGGAAGTGAGGAAATCAAACAAAGTTTCACTCCTCCAGGGAAGACCAGCCAAGAATACCAAAGTAGAGCTATATTTTTATTTTTCCTGTTACAGCACAGATCTGTTGTTTGGCTACCAAATTACAGGTTGGGTCTGGTTCTCACATACTTTTGCTTTTCATATGCTGAACAGGAAGAGTAATAACAGGTTGCTTCTTTTACTTGTGGGATTTAGGTATCCCTCATCATAGAATGGGTCATTTTTCTAAGAAAACCTGCCAGTTTAAAGACTGGAGGTGTATGTCATTCATATGGGGGTGGAAAACCCATAAAAATGAGAGGTTTTTGGCTAGAGAGTGGGTTCTCGTTACTTTTTCCCATGTTTAAATGACATGTTTATGAGTCATACCCTTATTATCTAATCCTAAAGCATCATCCAAAGATCACTATCATTTAAATGACTACTTTAGAGAAGGGTCTCTGGGAAATTTTACCAAGGAGAAATTTATACACGTCCATTCAGTTACGAAGCAGCACTCTCAACACACTTTTCATTAATTTTTTAAAATGCTCTATTGATAATCTATAAAAGATAATTAAACAAAGTGTAACAAATATTGTCCAAATACATAATGTCTGATATCCTAGACAGAAGACTAGTTAAGAATAATATAACATATATTGAAGGAAACTACTGCACACAGATATTTCCAATTAATATTTGAATCAATCAACATTCATACAAATATTATTCCCTTCATTGTCTAGTTTATGGCTCAGCTCAGGCATCAGTGAGAAATAAAAAAATGACTTACTGGGATAAGGTTTTGGAGAAATTCTGGATTCAGGGAATTAACTGACAACAGAGAGGATTATAGGAACATTTTACTGAGAGACACCTTATGGCTCTGACTTAAAGCAATATTAGGGAACCACACAAGCCAACATGGGAAAGAACCTTGGAATTTTGACTCATCAGAGAATTTCTAAAGAACTCTTTTGGCAGACAGGACCTATCTTGAGGACATCTGGGTTTCCTCAAGTGAAATTAATTTGTTCTTTTTTTCTTAAAGAAAAAAAAATTTAAAGAAACATAGGCATTTTCTTGCCCTCAAGTCATTTATCTTGTCAGAGATTAAAAAAAGAAAACATTATCATTTATATCTCCCTCATAATTGTAGATAGAAATACTATTATTCTGTTTTATTAGAAAAGGAAGTGGGAAGAACACAGGATGCAAGTGATGTCGGCTAAGGATAGTAGAGAAATTCAGCAGAGCTGAGCATCTTCTCAGGACATAGAGCTTACAACCAGAGGAGGAGTGCACAGCCCTGAAGAGAACGCTAACTCTCCTGTCCTAAGAGACTGTGTATTCCATTTACAACTCTTCTCTCTATATGAGCATGGTTTCTCCCAAGGCCTAAAATGCCAAGCTCTTTCTTGGACCCATCACTTTCATTGCATAAATATCATTGGTCTGTTGATTTAAAGGAGGACGTTTAAGTTCATTCTGATCAAGAGAAAAACAATATAAATTGCCTGCCTTACTAGGTGCATAACTTATTCTATCTTGGACATTGTATGGTTTATAAGAAATCAAGATTTCTTATACGAGAGAAGAACCAATGATAATCAAATATGGGTGAACAAAATCTTTATTAATAAAATACTAGCAGTAAGGATTTCATATTATAATCTAGATGTAATTATTTGGGTGGACATAAATGAAATCAGAAAAAAATCAAGGCTTAAGGTGGGACAGAATTATTGCCAATATCCTCAATAATAATTGAACTTTTAATATTTCAGGAGAATGTTCTATGTATGCATATTTTAGCAATTATAAAGTTCTACTCAACATTTAAATAGTAAAGCAGAAAAATTAAAAATAAAACACTTCTGATCTACGCTGTGGTTAATGCTTGGTTTGACTCTAGATTTGGATTATTCTTATATGTAAATCTCAAGATCTCCATTCTTTGACAATTTGTTGACTTAATAAAGCCATTTTTCTTCACCGTTCTTTTAAATGTCTTATGTACATGATCTTGCTTAAAGTGAAAACTCCTATTTCCTGGCTTACTGGGAGAACAGGCCAACGTTACAATTTTACTCACAACCTTTCAAATACTCCTAGCTAGTCTTACATTTTCTGGCTCTTTATTTTCACAAGTAACTTGGAGTGCTTCAAACTCATTCAGAAGCAAGTCAGGTGATGTGAAACACGAGGTGGGGGTCAGTGAGCACTCATAGGAAGGTGCCATTCCCTGATTCTCGATGCTTTGCAAAGAGGCAATTAGATGATCTCGTTGACCTAGAGTTCCTCTGCTTAATCAGCAAGAGAGGATTTGGGAAGTGGAGGTTTCCCTTAAGCACCTGATGTTAAAGCTGCGGCAGAAGCAGCACACAGCAGCAAGCACTGCAGGTGTGTCCTCTAAATCAATATCTCTTTACTTTCTCAGGATGACCTCCAGAGCATAGTCTGGCTCACCACACATCTGGTTTATATTAATGGGTTGCTGAACAGAACATATGAAGACGTGGCATTTATAATTACATATTTACCACAATGTCATAGAGTGTGATGGGAGGCTTTCTCTCCCCATGGCCATGGCTGTGATAGGGCAAAACATGAAGAATGGAGTCACGTGGAGAGTTCCAGGTGGCTTCTCAATGCTTCACCATAGTTTTCTCCACGAGGGTAGTGAACTAATGTTTCCCAACTGAAGAAACATAGAAGACAATTGATGAACTTCTCTTTGTGCCTGGACCATTACAATAGTCTCATTAGTGATTCCTAAGCCCCCAGCTTTGCCCTCCTCCATCTCTTCATTATTCAGTGGAGTGCTCTTGTTAGAGCCTAAATGAGATCCTGACATTCCCCTGTTCAACATCCTCCTTCCCATCTCCTGCAGAGTAAAATTCAAAATCTTCTAAGGTCTAGAAGCCCTCTC